TCTGTAACAAAATCAGTGATAAGAACAAATCGATAACTGTAAGTAGTTCATAGGCAATCTGTAACAAAATCAGTGATAAGAACAAATCGATAACTGTAAGTAGTTCATAGGCAATCTGTAACAAAATTAGTGATAAGAACACTGTAAGTAGTTGCTAGGCGATCTGTAACAAAATCAGTGATAAGAACAAACCGATAACTGTAAGTAGTTGCTAGGCAATCTGTAACAAAATCAGTGATAAGACCAAACCGATATCCGTAAGGAGTTGCTAGGCAATCTGTAACAAAATCAGTGATAAGAACAAACCGATAACTGTAAGTAGTTGCTAGGCAATCTGTAACAAAATCAGTGATAAGACCAAACCGATATCCGTAAGAAGTTGCTAGGTACACCTGATGACCATAGGTTGTTGATAGTGAGGAAAAAAGCGTTTAGAATACATAAATATTGATAGCACCTATTATAAATTGAAGGACTATATAATTATATAGATATATATTCATAAGTATAAGAGAGAGTGAGGTTAAAAAATAAAATGCCAAAGAAATGCAATAATCGTTTAACGTATGATATTGCATGAATCAGAGTATATAAAATGTAGCGAGATGGTAACCTAGGAAACAACAGAGATGAAAGACAAGAAAAATATTTAAATGGCTATTATCGTGAAACCTTAACTGCAACATTTGATTAATGGTGGTAGATGCAAGCCCGTGTTTTTAAGTGCTTCGTTATTATATCTACTGAATATCTACTCAATAACTTCAAATCATTTTTACAAAATAAATAGTACTTTTGATATTATATATATAACTTTAGACACAGACATAAATCCACACATAGACTATGTATTCAATTTCAATAACTGAGATTGCAAAAACGATAGCGTAAAGTTATGTTTACAGCATTTGTATATATGCTTTATAAATGTATTTCAGCTGGTTTAGTGTACTTCTATATACCAAAGAGATTAAATACGAGAAAGGACTATTAATTAATCTTTTATACTTGTAGTAATTATGAAGATTTAATTTTACAATTGTATAGATTGGATACATTTTGAAACGAGATAATTTGTTTATGATGTACATATAAGAAACGACTGCAATCATCTGTAAGCTTGTTTGTTTGAAGTTATGCACAAAGCTACACAATGGGCTATCTGTGCTCTGCCCACCACGAGTATCGAAACCCGGTTTCTAGCGTTGTAAGTCCGCAGACATACCGCTGTGCCCCTGGGGGGGGCATCTGTAAGCTTTCACATTTTTAAAATAAAGTGTGCTCTGCCCACCACGGGTATCGAAACCCGGTTTCAAGCGTTGTAAGTCCGCAGACATACCGCTGTGCCACTGATGGGGGGCATCTGTAAGCTTTCACATTTTTGAAATAAAGTTTTGTTTAAGTATAACAACATTTTACCGGAAAATGGCGAATACTACGATCGATATGTTTCCATGAATAAAAAAAAAAGACAGGTGAACACATGTCGAATACGAAATATTAAACATTCTAAGAAACAATCGATTTTGTCGTGACATTTTTGAACTTATTTCTAAAGTAAAAATTTTGGAAAAGTTATTGTTTTTGTATGCAACAAACGTAGGACCTTACATGCAATGCAATCATTATTTCATAACACTGTTTGTTTTTAAGAGATTTAATGAAACCAGCAGATCTTTCGATTTGCAGTCCCGTGGAGAGCATATTGAACACGATGTGTAACTCATGAAAATGAACATTAAGTATATTTTAAGAGTATTTTCTTATTTTTTTTTTTTTGCGTGACAAAACGTACCTAGAGTGAGTTTTTCTCCAGAATCCGGGGGCAAAGTGAACCCTAGAAGAGCCATTGATGATATGAGAACGCAGGGAATGATTAAGTTGAACCCATAATAAAGAGTTCGGCGACGAATATGGATGACAAACGTAATGTCAACGTACGGCTCCGGACAGCAGGCGTAATATATAACGTTCCTTTTACCACGTACTTCTAAAATTGAAGAAAAAATGAGAAGGGAACTAAGAATCCATTCATACAAACATATATCAATATTGTTGAAAAAGAATTTGGAACTACCCTAAGAAAAAAATGACTACAGTGTGAAAATGTAGAAAGAGATCTAGAAAAAAAAAAAAAGACAAAGAGCGAGAAAAAACGAAAATAAGTATCAGAAAGGTAATACAAACGGCACAAATAAAAAAGAAAGACAAAACTGGGCTGTGCAATGGATGTGGATTGAAAAAAGAAACCGCGACAGCTGGATATAGAACAATGTGTCTGACTACAATCGTAGCGTTATCTAGCGGATTTATTCTTTGTTGAGGCCTCTTTAAAAACTCACAGTAATTATGCGCCTTCGATTTTAGTAAGAAATAGTTCTGAAGAAAGTTTTTATGTTTCTAAAACGAAAGGAATGTTGGAAAAGTTTCATGAAACACTCACAATAACAAGAAAATGAGGGCAACTGTTAAAAGTTAAGTGAGAATTGAAAGTCTTGTAAAAATACACACTTTGTTTCGGATATTCGCGTAAAGCTCTACAAGGGCTACTTGCGCTAGCTGTTCCTAATTTTAAAATTGATAAACTAGGTTTGGTTTGTTTTGAATTTCGCGCAAAGCTACACGAGGGCTATTTGCGCTAGCCATCTTTAATTTAACAGTGAAAGACTAAAAGGAAGATAGCTAGTCATCACCACCTACCACGAACTCTTGGGCTACTCTTTTAGCAACGAATAATGGAATTAACAGTCACATTATAACGCCCCAAGGCTGAAAGGGCGAGCATGTTTGGTGGGACAAACTAGGAGAAAGGGAGCTATTCAACATCACCCACCGCCAATTCTTGAGTTACTCTAATCGAAAAGTAGGATTCGACGGTCTCTCCTATAACGCACCCACGGTCCCACGTGCGGAGTGCGATTCTGTGGCAAAACTGCGAATCCCCAGATTCACACCCTCCAAAAAAAAAATCTGAGAAAGAGAAAATAAAGTAGTAGCTCAGACATGATGAGTTGGGGAAACATAGTATGATAGCTTATGAACTTTAATAATATTACAAGAAATAAAATATTTTCATGGATTCATTATACTAGAAACTATTGGCTTCTGAAGAATGTATTGTACTAGAATACCTTTGGATTTGATTAATAAAAGGGGAAAATTAATCGTGTTTATAAAATACGTATTTTGTTGTGACATCTGGCAGCACTCGCTGGTCATTGGAACATGGACAGCACATTACAACAGTTCAAAGACTATAAGTTTAACTAAGACGTTTCAGTTAAGTACTTATTCTATGGCTGTGGGAAAAAGACCTTCATGGTTCTACAGTTTTATGGTTGTTGTAACATTCGTGGCCAGGTGGTTAGGGCGCTCGACTCGTAATCTGAAGGTCGCGGGTTCGAATCCCCGTCACACCAAACATGCCAACCTCCGACTTTGCCTGGTCCCAAGTCGAGGATGAAAAAGGGCGTGGTGTTGTTGCGGCCCTATGCTCCACTGGGAGTTTACAGGAGTTCATGATTGCTACACTTATTTTAAAATTATTCATTATTGGTATTATATTATGCTTGATGATATAATTGAAATATGAGAATAATGACCGGTGTCTGTTGCAGTTAACAGTTGAAATTAACCTACCGCCACGAGGTGATAACTGAAGATCACGAGACGATGTCAGTAGAGAGATCATTTGTGTGTGTGTGTGTGTGCAATCTTTGTAACATGGGGTTTATGTGTAATGATTACCAACTTTATTCAGTCAATGTATCACACAGAAATCGAAATGAATAAATATGAATGTAATATTCAAAATTTTTTTTTTATGTAACGATATTCATAAAAAAAAACATGCGACTCTAATACAATATATAGCTCGTGTTAGAATTCTGGCAGGGATAATTAATTATGAAAAATTTTGTAATTTCGGATGAAAAGAATTACATAAATAACTTTCTAATAATTTAAAATTACTGGAGACTTATTTTTTTATTTTGTATCATAATGTATAAATAGCTTCTTTAGTTACTTCCATATTGTCTATTACTATTCCCCATTAATACTTAATACTACAAACCGCTTCTCCATATATACTAGGAATAGATAAGTAAGACACTACACAATAAGATATACGCCTTATGATTAAAGCATTGTTCCAGACAATGATGTTTGCATGTTCATTTTACAGTATTGACAAGCGGTAAAAAGAAGGATTGCGTTTTTCGTAAATTACTGAATAGATTAATACAAAATGGGTATAGTATGATATTACTCTAATCTAAAATTGTATAACATAAACATACAGTTTATTCTACACGCACTCGTATACAGGTTTCAACAAGCACGTGGTTTAAAGCATTTTATTTAAATGTCCAAGTAAGAACCAGGCCTGCTTCAAATAGTGAATAGTGGTCTTGCATTATATATATATATATATACCTAAAACAAACGTTATTAAAAGTAAAGAAAGAGTATTTTTCATTACTTTAAAATTAGAAATTACAACTATAATAAGACTAAACACTCAGGATACCCGCATTATGTAAAATAATCCACAATCATGATTTTAGTAGCATAAAAAAAAATGTATTTCCAATAATATGGCACAAATTTATTAGCATTAAAAAACAACAACAATAGGTTTCCAATACTATGACATGACTTTATTAGCATTAAAAAACAATGGATTTCCAATAATTTGCCAAGTTCAAAATTTCACAAATAATGACTAGTATGTTAGTTATCTATTGATTGTTTATATTATTAAAACTTTTCCTGTCATTATTGTAAGAGAATCTATGGCTATTTATACTATAAAAACTTTTCCTGTCATTATTGTAAGAGAATCTATGGCTATTTATACTATAAAAACTTTACCTGTCATTATTGTAAGAGAATCTATTGGTTAGTTATATTATCGAAACTTTCCCTGCCATTATTATAAGTAAATCTGTTGGTTGTTGATATAATCGAAAGCTTGTGAGCTGACTGATATTCACAACTGTTAATTAATATTTAAAATAATTTTTAATATTTTTTCCTTTTGTTTTGTTTGTTTTTATATTTCGCGAAAAGCTACACGAGGGCTATCTGCGCTAGCCGTCCCTAATTTAACAGTGTAAGACTAAAAGGAAAGTAGCTAGTCATCACCAACTCTTGGGCTACTCTTTTACCAACGAATAGTGGGATTGACCGCCACATTATAACGCCTCCACGGCTGAAAGAGCGAGCATGTTTGGTGTGACGGGGATTCGAACCCGCTACCCTCAGATTGCGAGTCGAGCGTCCTAACCACCTGGCCATGCCGAGTCTCCTTTTTACTGACCAGGCATGATAAATCATTTTTGAGGGATGATTCATTTTATGGTATTTACAAAAAAGTAGCTCATGTATTTTTTAAGAGCATTTGTGTTAAAAATAAATAACTCAATTTATACGTAGATATTTCACGTGACAATAAATAGTTCACATATTTTAAACAGAAATCCGCATCAAAACTTCAAACTACATCAGCCTCTTGATATGGCAAAACTTTTAAATAAATTGTATATCTTAAGATGAAGAATAAAGTTTTTTGTTAATTTAAGCTTTCATAATCACGAATTAGTTGTCAAACCTTTTAACAGTAAAAGTTTTGTTTAAATGTTTATCCAAATTAGTAACTTTTACTCACTGATCACATGTTTAAATGATTTTTCTTAGATAATACGTGTTTGTAATCTCAACAGATTCATTGATTATTTTGTTAAATTATGGTTTTAATATATTTTCTCTAACGCAGATTTTTATTTTGTATTTTTTTTTCATTTTTGAACTTTGGACATTAGCTACCGGCCAGTTTTAGTGTCAAAAAATATTTATGAACAGAGATTTTAAACGTAAATTTGGTCCTTATGTAAGTTTTGAAAAATGTAACAATTTATATACAAATTCCGATTTTATTGAAAGAAGAATAGAAACTAATAATAGTTTTGTGCAGCCAGCTACATGCTTGTTTTTCCATAATAATATGTCCAATCCAATGTAGTATGTCGCGTATTTCGCCTTAGTGACAAAGAAAATATCACAGAGAAATTCCTTTTCTCCACAATTGCTTTAAATAGGCAATCTACTGCACATGTTAATGGCATACTTATAACTTGATTTGGTGCAGTTTGGGAAAGCTCAGAGTCATCTGAGCTGATGGTTCTGACAGGAGATTTACTCACAGTAGCTGAACAGCTCCTGACAAAGGTACGCTTGAAGATTAAATGACACTAGGAAAATGTCGAAATGTGAAGTTGTGTAGAAAAATAAAGGTATTGTCAGAAGTTACGAAAAAAAACCCCATATTGAATGGCTAATAGCTTACGTTTTTTAGAGCTTGTTTATATGTCAAATTATTCGTGCTTTACGTTTGTGAATAACTTTAAAAAACACGCGCTTTGGAATTTGCAATCAAGAACAAAAATGTGTAATTTATTCCGGAAATACGTTTCTTTCGAAATACATACTCTAATTACATTAAACAGACTTTTAAATATTCACTTAAAGCTTCTAAACCTTACAGCTACAAATCTAAATTGTCATATCACGCACAGAAATGTACATACGAATAGCACAAGATATGTGAATCTGAAGAAAATTGTTATCCGGCTTTAAAAATTTAAAAACGCATAGTTTCAACCGTTATGTTACATGCTTTTAATATTTCCTTGAGATAATTTTTTTAGCTTGTTTCCACTTTAATCAATATCTCGCTTTCGATTTCACGCCTTATTAAAGACAATCCATTCAGGCGACACACTAACATTGGAGACTTATTTTTTCTTAAGCAAAACTTATCAACGCTCTTCACTGAAAAAAACTAAATCAGCCGTCTAATAGCCTATTCGTTTGATAGGTAATATTTTAGTGTTTCAGCTTCTTATTTCTCAAATTTAGAAAATTCGAAGCCTAAAGTGAATTTAATCCGAAAACTGTTCAAATAAGTTAAAATATTTATAGGTAGAAAATGAAATCATTTAAGAAATAGATAAATGACAGTCAGAAAGAAAGTTTAAGATACACACAAATAAAAAGTACTTTCTTAAAAAAAAAGCGTTTGTGAATTTAAGCAATTCGATCTGATAATTTAAAAAAATCACCAAAAAAAGAATAAATTGAATCAGCGAAAATGTAGTAGCTGAAATTAATGTAATTAATCCACTAAAAATAAAGCGATTAACATAGGATATAAATTATAGAATTTTCATTTATTGAAAATATGACTTCATTATATATTTTAACTTTGTAAGAGGATAATGTAGAGATTAAATAATATTAAAAAAAGTATGCTAACTATTTTACTAATGAATGTATGTAGTTGGAGGGTTTGTTTGAAGGTAAGGGGCTATCTGTTCTCTGCCCACCACGAGTATCGAAACCCAGTTTCTAGCGTTGTTAGTCCGCAGACATACGGCTGTGCCACTGGCTGGGGGGGGGGGGCAATTGGAGGGAAAATAACACTATTAAGAAAAAAAAAGAACTTATGACGAACATTAGAGGAAAAATAGCATTTTATGCACGTTGTTATTGTTGTCAGTCCTGTTATGAAATATGTTTTATTTATTCAATTAAGAGATAGATAGGGGAGATATAAGCTACCGAGGGGGGATTAAACATGAAAACAAATTTAGGGATATCAGAAATTCACATACTTTTCACGTTATACACAAGCTACATTAACAAAAAGAATGGACAAAAGAGGTCAAAGTGGAAATTTATAGAAAATAATAGAAGCAAACTGTGTTGCTGATGTTGAATAGCTCAAGACGGCTATAATTTTGAATACGACCTTTGATATGCAGTCTGTATGTGTTTTTCAAAGCAAGATCACATCGAGCCGTTTCTTGTGTCCACCGAGGGAAATCGAACCCCTGATTGTAGCGTTGTAAATCCGTAGACATACTGCTGCCCCACCAGGGGACAGGTATAAAAGTCAATCTTGGCAGAGGTAGAAATAATCTCTTTCGGTAATATCAATGTAATATTTATTAAAAGCACTACTGAGTTACCTGTTTAGTTGACGAGCAGTCACATAATGGGAAAATGTTGGGTTTCCTGCTTTCTTTTTTTTTGCTGTATTAATGATTTTATAGGACCGAAAACACAGAAACTTAAGAATATCAATAAATCACAACTAGAAAAAATGTGCTGTAAGCTTTTGAACTAGATGAACAATATATGTGTTTGTTAGTTTGAATAAAGATGTAGGCTGAATTAATCAGAAAATTTGAGGGTTCATGATTTTTAAGTAATTGCAGCTTTTGAAGAGGAGGCTTGCATAGTAGAACGAAGCGATTAGTAAAATGTCACTGTTGCGGTATGACACAATTGTAGTGTAAAAAAAGCAACTTCAAAAACATTTTGAAAAATGAAGTTATATTCATTTTGAGACATAAAATAATTTCAAACAATAGTTATAAGTATGAAAAAGAAAACGTATTGAGGAGTGGAGACATCATTTGGAAGTTTTGGGAAACGATATTAACTATTTGAAATGGTCAGACTATAACTAGTTAAGAGGTTAGAACACACCACTTTTCTTAGTTGGAATTGAACATATCCCTGGCCTCGCACAGTAAATAAACCGTGAAAGCTTCAAAATTGAGTTTTAATGTCTCAAGTTGAGTTGTAATGCCTCACGTTGAGTTGTAATGTGTAATGGTGAGTTGTAGTCTCTCACGTTGAGTTGTGGTGTCTCAAGTTGAGTTGTAGTGTCTCAAGTTGAGTTATAATGTCTCACGTTGAGTTGTAATGCCTCACGTTGAGTTGTAGTGTTTCACGTTGAGTTGTAGTGTCTCACGTTGAGTCGTCATGTCTGAAGTAGAGTTGTAATGTGGAAAACCATCAGTAGGAAAGCTAATTATTAGAGACCAAACACGAGGAAACAAAAGATTATTCAAGTGCGCCATATATGGTTCTTTATCAATTTTAAATCTGCCTAAGATAAGAGAAGAAGGAGTCAAGCTGGATCCCATTTCAAAAATAACTCCGGGACTAGAAACTATGGATATAACTATTAAACTTTGGAGTCTAAACAGAGTTTTGCCAATGTAATGTATTTATATTTTCCAAAACGTTGTGAATATGTGAAACTTATTTGAACTCGTGCAGTGAAACAGATTCGCTCACTAATACAATTTACTGTGGTGAGTAAAAAACAAACAGATGTCAACGTTAAAACACGACTTCTTGTTTCTTCTATCTAAAGCAATTATTGATGTGTTTCGCCAATGAACCCGCAGGACACAAAGGAGATAGATCAATTACTCTAAATTTGGGAAAACTCGGAGTTATCGACAAATCCTATAGTGTATGAGAGGTTTCGTTCAGTAGCAAAATCAAATCTTTTCCGGACATTGTGAGCAAAGCGCGCGTAAAATCAAATATAATATAAACGTATTAATCGGAAAATCGTTAAGGATACACAATTAAAGTAAAGTATTTATGCTTTTTTTATGTATTTGTTTCTCGGGTCATATCGTACACACTTTTAGATAGAAGGGAAGAACCCTACACCTAAATATTCAACGAATCAATAAAACTGCTTGAATAAAAAAAAATCCCTTTCTGACGATAGACGGCTGCAAGTCACTTGTATAAATAAAAGTGTCTGCTGAGTATTTGCTGTCACCTGAAATGATTGATATTATCGTCCTTTGGTAGGCTTTCAATGCGATATCCTGATGTGGAGAGGAAACATTTTATCGTTATACAGAACTACATGCCAGATAAGACTACTTCTGAAGAATATACTTAAAAAAGTCAAGTAAGTGAACCATTCATATCCACTTCAAAGCAGTGAAATAAATGACGATCAGATAAGGTGGCTTTTAATTGTCCAAGAATGTTATATTTAGTGGTGAGAATGGGGTGATGGTTCAACTCTTTGTGGAAGTATGAATCCCCCTTTGGAGCCAAAAGTAAACTTTTCACTTACGCTCAATACTAGGAACTAACATCTATCACATAAAATCAGCGTTGTTAGGTTAGAAACAACACTAAAGACAGGTGCTTTAGGTTGATCTTTAAAGTATTTTAAGAGCATACGATAATATGATTTATCTTCTGCACACTAAACCATCAATTGTTAAAGTTATCGCAGCTTAAGATGTTGTGTATATAAGGACATCAGACTGTGGAGTAAGACGCTATCATGTACATCCCAACCCAAGATAATATGTGTGAGAGAATATAAGATTGTGTAGTAGGACGTTACCATGTATATTCTAGTTCAAGATGGCGTGTGTGTGTGTGTGAAGATATCAGACTGTGTAGAAAAACGTTACCATGTATATTCCAGTTCAAGATGGCGTGTGTGTGTGAAGATATCAGACTGTGTAGAAAAATGTTACCATGTACATTTCAGCTCAAAATGGCTCGTTAGATATTGAAATGTACAACAGAACGTTGTAATGTACATCTCAGCTCAAGATAGAGTGTGAGAATGTCATGTGCATCTCAGTCAAGATAGTCTGATGAAATTGAACTGTACAGTAGGACGTCGTAATGTACATCTCAGCTCAAGATGGCGTGCGAGGATACCGGACTGTGGAGTAAGTAAGACGTTGTCATGTGCATCTCAGTCAAGATAGTCTGATGATATTGAACTGTACAGTAGGACGTCGTAATGTACATCTCAGCTCAAGATGGCGTGCGAGGATACCAGACTGCGCAGTAGAAGGTTAGAAAATGCACTCTTTCTAATGGTTGAGATTACACAATTCAGATTAGAATGGCGTGTTATAATATCAATAAATAAGTCGGTGCTCAGTGCTTGGAGTATGACAGTTGATTATAGTATGAAACTTGTGATGTCTACTTTACTATAATCACTATAACAATGCTAATATAACACTTATAATAATATAAGTAAAAAAATCAACACTGACATAACACTAGTTATAGCTACAATACTGTAAATATGAGTCGAATATAACATAACTGAATATATATATATATAACAATTATAATTCTATATTATACCTGCTATGTTTGTAAGAATAAAACTTAAGATTGACACAAAACTAGTTTTACTTTCAATACTGCATTACAATTAACACTCTCGTACCACCGGTTACACAAAGGAAGATATCTTGGCCTCTGTGTACTACCGGTTACACAAAGGAAGATATCTTGGCCTCTGTGTACTACCGGTTACACAAAGGAAGATATCTTTGCCTCTGTGTACTACCGGTTACACAAAGGGAGATATCTTGGCCTCTGTGTACTACCGGTTACACAAAGGAAGATATCTTGGCCTCTGTGTACTACCGGTTACACAAAGGAAGATATCTTGGCCTCTGTGTAATACCGGTTACACAAAGGAAGATATCTTGGCCTCTGTGTACACCGGTTACACAAAGGAAGATATCTTGGCCTCTGTGTACTACCGGTTACACAAAGGAAGATATCTTGGCCTCTGTGTACTACCGGTTACACAAAGGAAGATATCTTGGCCTCTGTAGAAGAGTACAGGTTTTACTTACCAATCATATCCCACTCTCCGTTGCTAATGTAGTTTGATAGGTCACCTTCGTTGCTCGATAACCGAAGATCAAGAGCGCCACCATCATAGGTCCAAGAACCAAACTTCATCACACATTGTTGATCGTCAAAAGGAAACCATGTTATGTCGATCTTACACGTGCTCTTGAAGATGCCTGGAGGAATGTAGCTACAGCTGCCATTGTGACGCACAACCACATTGGTTTTGTACGTGCTGTCGATTTGTTCATCTGCGCTGTAGGGTAAAGTTAATGGCTGTTAATCAGATAATTTTAAATCAAACGAACACATGTCATCAACTCGGACATATACTTTGAGAAATTCATGAAAGTAAACGTCTTGGACAAGGTATAGAGATAATATACAGAATTATACCAAGATTACATGTAAATATTTAAATGATGTGTCTACATTTATATATAATCGCATCAATAACTTGTGGTAATACGTCTATATTACATATCAGTATTCGGTAGATACGTCCATAAGTCTGAAGTAAACTACAAATCAGTTTCAGTTGTTTTGTCTACCTGTGTACAGTAAAAGCTACATGTAACTATTCAGGAGACATGTCTATAAGTTTACATTAAACCCATACACCAGCTTCAGTTGTTTTGTCTACCTGTGTAGAATAAAAGCTACATGTAACTATTCAGGAGACATGTCTATAAGTTTACATTATTTTAAATTCATACACCAGCTTCAGTTGTTTTGTCTACATGTGTACAGTAAAAGCTACATGTAACTATTCAGAATACATGTCTATAAGTTTACATTAAACCCATACACCAGCTTCAGTTGTTTTATCTACCTGTGTACAGTAAAAGCTACATGTAACTATTCAGAATACATGTCTATAAGTTTACATTAAACCCATACACCAGCTTCAGTTGTTTTGTCTACCTGTGTAGAATAAAAGCTACATGTAACTATTCAGGAGACATGTCTATAAGTTTACATTATTTTAAATTC